TGCTGGATTTGTGCCCTCGCAGGCGGCAGCACCCTTGGCTGGCTGTGGCAAAGGCAGAGCACGCCGGGTCACGCACAGATTTGGTCTCCTCTCACCTTCCAGGTCATTTCTGACTTCGACATGACGCTGAGCAGGTTCGGGTGCGCAACGGCAGACGCTGCCCCACTTCGCACAGTGAGTCGGAGCCGTTGTTTTTACTGTTGCTAATTCTGTTTGTTTTCCGTGTTTGTGTTCTCAGTCTCTGTGGCTCCTGTTACCCTCTGCCCCCTCCCTTGCCAAGCCCGACCGCTCCGTCTTGTTCTCGCTCGGTGCAGCTCCTTTTTTGGCTGCAGCCCCCGGCCCGCTGCAGGAGCTGTCTTCTGGTCTGGCTGCTTCTCCTTCTCATACTTGCATCCCGCAGCGTGCTGGCGCTGACGCTGCTCTCTGCCAGCGGAGCAATGCCCGTCGATCAGCGCGTGCTGCGGGTTCACAGTGGGAGCCGCTGCGCTGGGACCCCGCGATGAGCCTGTGCTCGGGTCGATGTGCCGCACACGGCTCGTTTCTGGGAAGAGCTGGCGCTGGAGACGCGGGACAGCTGCCTTTCAGAGAGCCTTGGTCTGTTTCTGGGCTACAACATGGGCATTTTATTGTCTTTGCAGATATCCTGGATAACAGTCGTGTTATCAGTGAGGACGGCAAGAAGAAGGTGGGTGCTGCTCTGTAGGGCACTGCTGCTTGGTTCTGTGTTTTTCTCCCTGTCACCCGTCGTCGGGAGGTTGCACTGGTTCGCGTGATGGCTCCCTGAGCTGCGCCTGGCGGCCCGGGTTTTTCGGAGCGTGCCCAGGCTGCCTTCCAGCCAATGGTGGTGGAAGGAGAAGTTAAAAAGGGAAATTTAATTTGCATGCTCAGCTGTGAGCAATTTCAGTGTGATAAGAGGAGGAAGGGTGTCTGTCTGTGCATCTGTACGTGGGGTGTTTGGAGCAGGGTGAGAGTTGGCCGCGCTGCCGGAGGGTTAACGCGGCCTTCCGAGATCTCCAGATTTGCTCAGAGTGAGGTTGCTTAGTGAAAGGGGTTTGGTTGTGCTTTTCACTAGGAAGTGTGATGCTGTGGAGGAATTTAGAAATGCTTTTTTTGTTGTTTACTGTCTCTTTAGACGTGATGTTCACTTGTTCTTTTTCCATCCGTACAACGCTCCAGCTGAAAGATCTGCTGCACTATTACTACCCCATCGAAATCGATCCCAACCGGACCCTGGAAGAGAAACGGCCGCTCATGGTGGAGTGGTGAGTGCTCGCACGTGTTGAGCTTGGCCTTGTCCTGGGCAGCTTCTGGCTCCCGAGGACTACAAGACCCGAGGCCTGAGCTGTCTCTAGCCATGGTGGCAATACCGGCGAGTTTTAGTTGTTGTTTCTCTGGCTGCCTCAAGGCTGCTGCCCGCGGAGCTCACTCTGCCGCCTTTCCCCAGGTGGACCAGGGCCCACGAGCTGCTGT